GAGAGGAAGAGTAGGGAGGTACGTCTAAGTGAAGGGAGGGAGATTTCTAAGAAAGAGACCGATAGTGATTAAGTGCTGCAGGAAGTTTCAGAAGGATAAACAGAGAAGGGAGATTTCTTTGAATTTTGCAGCAAGGAGCAGAGACTGTGGCCTTGGTCAGAGAGGGTCAGGCAGGGGGAACCAGACATGCGCAGTCGGCAGGAAGCTTGATGGTGGGAGGAGAGGAGCTTGGCTGTGATGCTGTGGGGCAGGAGTTTCTACCTGCAGTGATTGGGTTGGGAGCTCACAAAGCAGCAGTTTCTTTGCAATTTGATGTTTATGAGTCTTTCTCTGTCTCTGATCCATGAAGAGCCTTGCCTCTCCCTGTTTGCATCTCCGCCTTGATGCTGGGCTGTAATTCTGGGCACAGAGAATGAAAGAATAGACAGAGAAGAGGAAGACACAACAGCTTCTCAGTTTGCCTCTTGTTGCAACATTTAGATCCACCCAGTGGTTTTTGGTTGCGTTGTTTTTTCTTTTGGAGTCACACCTGACTCTGCTATTACTCCAGGCTTTGTTCAGTGATCACTCCTGGCAGGACTCGAGGGACCATATATGGAGCCAGGGCTTAAAACTGGGATTGGCGCATGCAAGCAGGTTTCCTAATCCCTTTACCAGCTCCCGAGGCCCCTCTGTTCAGTCCGCCAGTATAGCTAGAGAACCTCTGTGCACTACTCAGACATCCACCTCTTCCCTCCACATCTGCTAATGTAGCCTGTGAACTTCTCTTTGATTTTGCAGTGTTGATGATAGAACCCAGAGGAGAGCAGAGATGTATCGCTGAGCTCGGTTCCCACCTGTAACCCACAACTCCCTGTGTCTGCATCTTGTCTTTCACACTCTTAACTACCTGGTGTGCAGGGTTCATCCTGCGTGAACCCTGTTTCTTGCTGTCGCCCCTGATTTCCGCTATTGCCTCCTCTGTTTCCCTCACAGACAGTGCATACCCATCCTTCTCTCTCTAAGCTGGCCTTGTCATTTTCATTTTCTCTTCTGTTTGGAGGCAGTGCTCAGAGCTGATTTCTTGGCTCCACACTCAGGGGGCATTCCTGGTGGTGCTTGGAGGACCAGAGGGCATGCTGGGGATCAAACTTGGCTCAGGGCAAGTACCTTACCCCACACTGCTATCTCTCCTGACCTGGCCTTCTCATTTTCTAAGTTGGCCTTGAACTGCTATCCCAGCTACCCACTTTTCACTCTAGAAACTCCCTCAGGCACCACCTTTCACAGCTTTACAGTGATCACAAGTTGGTCATAAAATAGTGCCTATAAATTCTCTCACATGTGTCTGGGCCTCCTTTGTGAGTTTGTAATCTTCTGAACAGCCTCACTTAGAGATCCCATGGGAGTCTTCAGAAGCGATAGATGAGCTTATCTTTCATCAGTGAGATGTGTTCCACAGTGAGTGAATTAGTCACGGTTACACCTCAAAGCACTCGATTTGGTACTTGATTTTTCTTTATTCCTTGCACTGTACCTCCAGTTTTCCTCATGTCTTTCATTGTTTTTGGACCACACCTGGCGGTACACAGGGGCTGCTCCCATGCAGTGCTCCAGCCCATTGAGCTGTCTCCTGGCCCTCTCTTCCTTATTTCTCCATGTTTCTCCCAATCTTCCCAGGACACTCTCTCCTCTGCCAATGTCAGTTTGTCTTTTCTTCATTTTGTAACAAATGTGCCTTCCTCTGGCTTTTCCCCCCTCTGTTCTTAGCCTTTTTTTCACATAGCTATGCATCCAGTCATGTTTTCTATCTGCGTCGAAGTTTTCTGTTGTTAAGTTTTACTTTCAAAGGGTCTTAGCACCATTTTTCAGCAGGTGGTCCTGAACCTCTGTGCCTGCGCTCCGCAGCCGTACACTCTTCAGTGGCTCCTGCCTTTCCTGAGGTTCCTACAGTTCAGCAGCGCCAGTGCTCCTCCAGCTCTGCTTGGAGAATCTGCTCACCCAGCTAATACTAGTATAGATGGTCTATACAGAGTGTGTTTTCTTCATGTCAACCTTTTGGTTTGGAAACCACAAAACTCCATTGTCCTCTCCCTTTTCCTCTGTCTCTTCTTCTTCCGCGTCTTCCTCCTCCTCATCCACCTCTTGCTCCAGGCTCTGTTCTTAGGGATCACTATGGAGGTGCTCAGGGGACCTGATGTACCTAGGCTGATGTGTGCAAAGCAAGCTCCATATCTGCTGGCCCCTCAAATTCCTTCTTTTTAGATAATTTAGATACTCCCGGGATGCTATTCATGTTTAACTTAGGGTAACTTAGTTCAGATTTTGGACTACACCATGCAGTACTCATGGGGTACTCCTGACTTGTTGCTTGGGAGTCGCCCCTGGTTGTGCTTGGGACCCTGACATGATGGGGCTCTCTGTAATCTGGGGCCTCCTGCATGGAACGATGCACTCTAGCCCTTTGAACTGTCTCCCTGTCCCAGGAAAATTTAGTTTTATTCTCAGGTTATTTACTTCTAATACTGTGAAAGATAGGGCAGCATTTTGGGGATCACTTCTGGCACTGATCAGGGGACCATATGGGGTGCAGGGATCAGGTGCTTATGAGGCTAGACCCAGGACTCTCTCCAGCCTGAAGCATTTTTCTAATAGAAAGTAAAAGTTGTCACCTTCATTACCACAGGTATAAAACAGAGGAGCAAATAAAATGCTGTGTGGCTTGCATGTTTATATAGTTTACTAGAATAAACATGAGATTTTTTAAAAAATTGAATTGCTGTGAGATCCACAGTTACAAAGTTGTTCATGATTGGGTTTCACTCATACAGTGTTCCAACACCCATCAATGGTGAGATATTTTATTCGAAGATCTGTTGACTGCTTTGATTAAATATTATTCACTATTTGATTACTTATTAGTTACTATTGTAATGTAATTTTTTTTCTTTTAAATAAAATTGCTTCACTACTTCTTTTTTTGGTGGTGATGGTGGGGGGAATACCTGGCTATCTATGTTCAGGGGTTGCTCCTGGCTCTGTACTTGGGAATCACTCCCAGTGGTGCTCAGGGGACCATATGGGATGCTGGCAGTCAAACCCAGTTGGCTGCATGCAAGGCAGACACCTTACCAGCTTTACTGTCTCTCTGGCCCCTGTTCCTTAGTTCTTTATTTTGAGAAAATTAGGGGGAAATAGTACACTAATATTTTGAACAGAATTTGTAGGCATTCTTTTTTAAAGATGGTGAAAAAGTTATGGTTGTGGAACAGAATATATTGAAATTGACTATAGGACTTTTCAATGAAATCAGGACTGTTTAAATTTTAGAGGAGTCTTTTCTTTTTTTTAAAGGCGAGAGCAAATCAATAGAACTATATAAAATGGCAAAAATTTCAGGTTTCTTTTTTTAGGTGGAAAGTAGCAAAAATTTCTAAAGATATTTTTTCACCCTTCCAATATTTTCAAAGTGTCCATTACAGCTGTGCCCACTAATGCTGGAAGAAATGAAGAGGATGACTAGTACATCATTCATTTCTCGTTATCAGGATCAATGAAGCTATTTTATATCTGCCCTCCCACAGTTTATTCAACCTTAATTGAAAATGCTTTTATTTCTATCTACCAGCAACTTTTTTTTTGGCTTTTTGGGTCACTCCCAGTGATGCCTAGGGGGTTATTCCTGGCTCTGCACTCAAAAACTATTCTTGGTATTGCTTGGGAGACCATGGGGTGCCAGGGATTGAACCCAGGTTGACTGCAGGGAAGGCAAATGCCCTACCCACTGTACTATCACTCTGACCCCTCTATCAGTAACTATGAACCATTAAAGCATTCCTGTTGGGGCCAGAGAATTAGAACCAAGGACTCATGCACATGTCTTCATGCCAGAGGTACAGGTTCAACCAGAACCCCGTGGTCTAGGTGTTACTAGATGTTAGGAATGATGCCCCAACACCTACTCAGGGGTAGCACCTCTTAGCACCCCTCAGTCGGTTCCCTAAAATACTCAACCCAAAAGAACCCATTCCTGTAATTGCATAGGTTGGGAGAACAAAATCCGCTCAGACCTGGGTACCGTGACCATATAATACATCAAGAGTAAATAGCAGCTTAATTTTCCCTATTTATTCTCTAGATGCATCTGGGTGGGTGAGTTTGCTTCAGGTGCAATCAACATGAAAAAAAATGAATCAATTTTCTTTGGTATTTGCATTGCTTTATTATTTTTCTTCATGGTATAAATTAGAATGAATGACTTATGAAGTACACCAGGAGCAGATATTTTAAAATTTCACTGGAAAAACTGCATTCACTTTTATGTCCTGGAGGACCAGCTGAAAGCTGTCGGCTTTTGGAAGAGTGAAATATTTCCACGACACTTATTGTTAATATAGAGTTTATAATAAAATGGGACAGATGTATCAACTCCTGATCCTCTGTCAGAGACAAGTTTTCTTTTTTTCAAAAAAACTCAAGAATTATACACAGCATTTGCAAAGCATACCACCCAGAAGAATGCATTGCCACAGAGCAGAAAGCTGTGTAACCATGACTTCTGTGACTTCCGCAGGAAAGAATAAAGCCAGCTCTCTGGTCTCTGCTGCCTCCTTCCCATGCCCCACCCCCTAGATCCTCACTTCCCTACCTAAAAGTCCTTTAAAGTGGGATTCCACTCGCTTCCTCTGAGATTGCAGAAGGAAAAGCAGTTGCAGAGCCTTGGGAGGGCCTTTGGGGAGGGGATGTGGGTGGTGTGGGGATGTGGTGGGGGATGCTGAGGCTTGAAGGAATTGCAACAAGCATTTTTTCTCTGGATTCACTGTGGTTCCTCTCACAGGTTTGAAGTGCAGGCATTACCCAGAGCCCGTTGTAATACCTGCCATTCCCATGTTCTTTGTAAAAGGTGCAATGACTCATTCCTCCAGAGTATGGCCCATTCGGAATGACTCATTGGAAATGGACTTTGTGGAGCTTGCTGTGTACCTGATGCACCGTAGTAACTTGTTTCCACGCAATTCCAGGACCTTAGCTTATTGCCAGTGGGTGGACAATCTCACTGAGACCCGGAAGATGCTCTCCCTTAGTGGTGGTGGTCCCTTCAGTAACCTGCTGAGGTGGGTCGTGTGCCACATAACGAAAGGAATTGTGAAGCGCGAGATGCACGGCCACGGCATTGGCCGCTTCTCAGAGGAGGAGATTTACATGCTGATGGAGAAGGACATGCGGTCTTTAGCAGGGCTTTTGGGTAACGTACCATGCCTTCGATTCTTTATTTTCTTACTATGTGCATGATCAGTAAAGCACTGTGAGTGTTCTAATGTATAGTTTTATTTTGGCTGGTTTCTTTGCTTCCGTCCGTAGGTTGCTGCCCCACCATTTCTCCAGAATCCTCTAGGTTATAGGATCACGTGTCTCCTCTGGTCACTACCATATGATTTTTTTTTGGGTAGAGAGTGGCCTGTCATGGAGAGAATATAGAATGTGGTATGGTCCTGCTACCTGGCTGCGAGTGACACTGGTGTCTTGGGCCAAGGGTGGTGATGAATGAGAGAGTTCTTTTGTGTATTAGCTGGGCAGGGTGAAAAAGCTTCTTGAAGACACTGGATCTGCTTGGATGATTTGACTGTGGACTCGGGGACATGAAACTAAGAGAGATGCTGTCAGCACCGGCTCTGACTTTTAGTACTTTCCACTTCTAGAACTCACCACTCTTTCTTTTTTTTCTTTTTTTTTATTGGTTTTGGGCCATACCTAGAGATGCTCAGGGGTTCCTCCTGGCTCTGTAATCAGGAACTACCCCTGGCAAGGCTCAGGAAACTGTATAGGGATGCCAGGAATCACACCCTGGTGGCCGTATGCAAGGCAGAAACCCTACTCTCTGTATGTTCTCTCTGGTTTTTTTTTGTTTTGTTTTTGGGTCACACCCGGCGATGCTCAGGGGTTACTCCTGGCTCATGCACGCAGGAATCACTCTTGGCGGTGCTCAGGGGACCATATGGGATGCTGGGAATCGAACCCGGGTTGGCTGCATGCAAGGCAAATAAATGCCCTACCCACTGTGCTATTGCTCTAGCCCCTGTATGTTCTCTCTGGCCCTGCACTCACCACCGTTTTTTTTTTCTGGCTTTTTGGATCATACCTGGTAATGCTCAGGGGTTACTCCTGGATATACACTCAGGAATTATTCCTGGTGGTGCTTGGGGGACCATATGGGATGTTAGGGATCGAACCCAGGTCGGCCGCATGCAAGGCAAACTCCCTCCCTTCTGTACTATTGCTCCGGTCCCCCACTCTTCATCCCTTATGCTTCCATTTGGAATATTCTTGCAAGCATGTTTTCATGCTTTAGACTGCATTATTACTGCTCACAGTGGGTTTAACTATGCTTAGGAACCCCTCCAAAAGAAGGACATAGAATCATTAGAGGAGACGAGTTCACCCTTGCTTCCCTCTTCTACTTGGCTGGACGTGACTGACCTGCTTGAGTCTGAGCAGAGCTTGAGTGTGGGCAGAGAGATGAAATCCAGGTGCTGTATGTGCAATGCCCAACTCCTGGGAGCCGCTCCCTCTAGAGGACTAGCTAGGCTGCTCTATTGCTGAGGGAAGGTGGGTTTTCACTTGCCTTCCCTGCAGCTTCATCTCCATTTTGGAGCACTAGATGTTGGTGTTTTCCCTCTAGAAAATGGGGTGAGGATTCTTCTTGAGCCTTAGGCACTGGAGAGGGTGCTGGGTGTAACCTGTCTCTGCCGGGGAATTCACTTGCAATCTTTTCAAGACTGCAGGAAATGATCCCAGCAGCATGTGCAACCCTGAGCTGGTGGGTGAGTGGAATTAGCTTCAAAGTTGCCTCATTTCTTTAGAAATTAGATTGGATCCTCCATCCACCTCACACACCGCAGGCCACTTTTTCTGAAGCAGCGGTTCTGTCTGATGCCCATGCTTTTCACTCACATCAGCCACCCAAACTGATGACAGAGATTAGGCCTGTAAAGTGCAGTGCATCTCCAGTCATTTAAGTGTATCTTATTAACCAGAGAGAACATGTTGGGGCATAACTGAGTAGGAGAATATAGAGATTGTGATCGAAATAATAATTGCTTATGTTTCTCTAGCATATATGGCTTAAAAGGTGTTTATCTGGGCTAGAGCAATAGTATAGTGGGTAGGGCATTTGCATTGCACACAGCCTATCTGGGTTGAATCTCTGGCACCCGATATGGTTCCCCTAACCCGCTAGAAGTAATCCTTGAGTGCAGAGCCAGGAGTAAGCCCCAAGTACCCCAGAAACAAAACAAAACAAACAAACAAAAACCAGAAAAGAAAAGAAAAAAAAAGGAAGTACTTTCTCCCCATTTATGGAAGATGGGAGGTCAGTGAGTCTCTGATGGGTAGACTAGATAATGGGCAGGTTTTCTAAATAGTATTACAAATCTGTAACATATACAAGTAGTTCAACTGTGTTATCTACATTGGTTTAATAAAGATACAGACAACCCTTGTGGTTGGCAAATGGGAGAAAGTTCTGGAGTTAGAGCCCCTTGGTCCATACTTTGGCCTCCAACTTTGAACAACTGTGTGACTTCACATGAATGATGAGTTTATTTATTTTTTTTACTGCAAAAGGGATCAGAACAATAGTTATAGAATGTGAAGACCAAATGAGACAGTTATTTTGCAGGTGGTGGTAGTGCTAAGAATTGAACCCAAGGCTTCATATGTGCAATGTTACCTAAGTACCTATTGGTAGATGATTAGATAAAGAAGACATGGTAGTGGGGCTGGAGTAATAGTACATTGTGGAGGGTGTTTGCCTTGCACACAGCTAATCTGGGTTTAACCCCAGAAACCCCATATGGCCCCTTGAGCTTGCCAGGAGTGATTGTTGAGTGCAGAGTCTGTGCTAGGGTTGGCCCTAAAACAAAAATGGGGAAAAAAAATTCATAATAGAAATACACAGTGGAATACTACTCAGCAGTAAAAAAAAGACAATATCCTGCCATTTACAATGGTATGTATTAACCTAGTTAGAATTATACTCTGTCAAATGAAAATGCACTGTTTGATTTTATTTGTGTGAGATTCATAGAATAACCCTGTGTGACTCCGAACTCCTGCTTTTTTCCTGAGGCAGCAGCAAACCCTGAAATTCCATAGAAATTACGATTTCAAGTTGTGCCATGTTAGGATGACTCCCTTAGAGCACTTCCTAAAGGTCCCAGAACTATAACTGAAAGTTATAATGTGGTCTCCACATAATGTTTTGTTTTGTTTATTGCCTGTGCTCAAGGCTTATTCCTGGCTCTGTGCTCAGGGATCATTCCTGGCAGTGCTCAGGGTACCATGTATGGTTCCAGGAAGTGAACCAGGGTTGGCTGCGTGAAAGGCAAGTGCCTTAACCCCTGTACTGTCTCTCTGGCCCCAAAGTGATTTTTTTTAGGGTCACACTCAGCTGTGCTCAGAACTTACTCCTGACTCTGTGCTCAGGGATCCCTCTTGGCGGGGCTGGGGGGGACCATATGCAGTGCTGAGGATCGAACCTGTATTGGTTGCATGAAAGGCAAGTTCCCTGCCTGCTATACTATTCTCTGGCCCTTCCAAAGTAAATTTTAAGTGTGTTTTGTGATGTTGCTTCAGGAGGCTGAGTACAGGTTTGAATATGGAGTGTTTTCATTGATTTCATTTTCCTGTGCTTTGTGCGTTACAGTGGTACCTGCCTTAGAGGCTGCCACCTTGGCAGGTTTGTGTTGAACTACAGACTGAGAGCACAAGTGCTGAGCAGAAATAATCTCTTTGGGATATGAAGAGAGTCATATAATAAAGCAGAATGTGTAAATGGAAGAGAGAAATAGACTGATTTCTAGCCAATTGTACACTGCTAAAAATTACAGTGTACTTTCCCCACCAGTCTTAAGTCTTGTTAAGTTGTTTTTAAAAAAGCTGGATAGTCAGAAAAAGTGAGAAAGAGAGAGAGAGAGAGAGAGAGAGAGAGAGAGAGAGAGAGAGAGAGAGAGAACAGACAGAATAACTGCACTCATTTGTGGAATATAAAGTAACAGAATGGGAGAATAACACCCAAGGATAATATCAATAAGGGCCAGCAGGACCGCTCCACTGCTTGGAAGCTGGCCTCACATGCTGGGGGAAAAGGCAGCTGGGATAGAGAAGGGACCACTAAATGAATGATGCTTGGAGGGCTCGCTCAGGATGGGAAATGCGTGCTGAAAGCAGACTATAGACCAAACATGATGGCCACTTACTACCTGTATTGCAAACCATAGCACCCCAAAAAAGAGAGTAAAAGGGAATGTGCCTGCCACAGAGGTGGGGTGGGGGAAGAGGATGGTGGAAAGGATACTGGGGATATTGGTGTTGGAAAATGGGCACTGGTGGAGGGATGGATACTCCCTCATTGTATGACTGAAATGTAATCATGAAGGTTTGTAAGTCTGTAACTGTATCTCATAGTGATTCATAAAAAAAAAAAGCTGGAGAGGTTTTTTTTTATTTAGACTCCTTGATGACCTGGGGTGGGCTCAGTACAGAGAGGCAAGTCTCTGTACTTTATAAAAACTAATTCTCCAGCCTCTCCCTAGGCATTTCTGTTTAAGGTTTTTGTATTACTAATCATTGGATCTGACTTTAATCTTCTATATATCACTTGCTCAAGAATGAAATTTTTGATTTTTACTTACTCTGTACTTGGTTTTATAAATGTCAGTGTGTGCTCTGACTGTTGATAAGGGTGTCATGTAGTGTCAGGGCAAGAACCTGGGGCCTCCTGCATGCAAGAAGGCTCTACTTCCTGAATCATACCCACCACTCCCATTTTATTCTTTTTGTTTGATTGTTTGTTTAGGGGCCACATCTGGAAGTATTCAGGGTTTACTCCTCTGCCTGCATACAGGGATCTCTCCTGGTGGGACTTAGGGGACACTTACGTGGTGCTAGGGATCAAACCCAGGTTGACAACATGCAAGGCAAACATCTTACCACTGTGTTACTACTCCAGCCCTCATTTCATTCTTGAGCAAGTGATATGTAGAAGATTAAAGTCAGAGTCAATGATTAGTAATACAAAAACCTTAAACAGAAATGCCTAGGGAGGGGCTAGAGAATTAGTACAGTGGGTAGGGTGTTTGCCTTGCACGCGGCCAACCTGGGTTCAATTCCTAGCATCTTATATGGTTCCCCCAAGCACCGCCAGAAGTAGTTCCTGAGTCCAAAGCCAGGAGTAACCCCTATGCA